TGCACGGTTCGATAAAAGAAAAGAAACTTAACGAAAAGGAGAACGGTTTCTCGTTTCTTTTCTTTTTTTAACATTTATATCGAGAGATTTGACTTTTCGTAGCTCGGTTATGCCGGTTACGTTAAAACTTTTTTGCAGCTTCAGGCCTAGTTTTTATTATCTGATTAACTTGCGGTTAAGCTTAACCTAACCATGTTTCACCCAATGCTTCTCAATCTTGAATTTTGCAAAGTTACGATATTTTCAAGACAAAGTTCGAAGTCTTTGAAGATCGTTAGATTTAACTTCAGTGTCGAGATTATGTAAAAATTATATAGAATTTTTTACTTCTTGCTTTTATCTCGAATTTGAAACAAAGGAAGGTTATTTTTTGCGAGGCTATTGTTCGAGCGATTAAATGTTAAAAACGTTTACATGGAATAACAAATCACGATAATATCAAAATGACATTAAAATAAATTTTAAAATGATACTAAAATGAATCGAAAAAATGATTGAAAAAATGACTTTTAACGATCATTTTGGAGTCATTTTGACATTATTTTGATATCATAATAACTTGTTCTACTTGGGTTATAAACTGTGCTGCAAGTTGTCTTTGACAAAGGAGAATATTCATCGGTCTTCTCTATATGATAGGCATATGCACATATGAACTACACGTTGTATATTGTGTGCAAATGATATACAAATGATGGCATAGTCTGACATGTCTGCGCTCCGATGCAATATTCTCGCGTGTCGACGCGATGGAAGGAAGAAACGTTCGTCCGCAGTTTTCGATCCCATGGGCAGCGTCACAGTGTATGAATGTAGCATTCGCTTACTCCGAAAGCCGCTTCAATGCCGTTCTTTGATTCCTTCGCGTTTTGCCACGTGCGAGGTATTTCTCCTTGGATATGTAAAAAACACGAAGCTGCAGGGACACAATTCCGCGATATGTAAAAGACGTCGCGTATAAATTTATGTATTTATTTATGCTCTAAATATTGCAACGCAGAAGAAAAAACACGTATCTTATATCATTAACATCGTCACGTTATTTATGTGATATAAGAGATCAATAATTAATTTATCTATAGCGAATAGTGCGTGATCCATTACGCTATCACGTCGAGGCGACGAGTAAATTTCTTTCACTTCGGTTAAGAAAAAAAGAGCAGATAAAAAAAAGAAGGACATTACGAATTTCATTATATGTAGAACACGGTCGTATTATGCGTATACGTAAGTGACGAAAATGTAAATCGCATAAGTGCAAAATGAAGCGGAGGAGATGCCACGAACATCCTACATGAGAGAGCCGATGGAACTCGATCTTCCGTGAAATCGAATTGCGACGCTGTTTTCTCTACGTGGTCGATAAGGGACGAATGTCAATGTACACGTCGCTTAGCTATGTTGTATTCCGCAGCCGCAAGTCGTTCTTGCACCAAGAAAGCGCTTTTCCACCGGGATGGAATGCGAATGAGTGAAACAACAAAACATTGAGATATCCCCTAGATATGTATATGGAAGATTCGGCGTGACTGAAACTCTCTTCCATTTGGATAACCAGATAGAAAACACGTGCACCAGATAGATTTATCTGAAAAATCAATAAAAAATAATGTATACTTCGATTGGCTCAATCAGCATTGTACACATGTTCTTTATTTAGGTTTAATCTTTATGGGCTTTCTACAATATGCCATTACCTAAGTTTTAAGTCTTAAGCTGTAAGAAATTGACTAATCACAGTCGAATGTGAGAAGAATAATCGACCATGATTGGTTTCTTATGGCTTAAGGTAATGACTTGTTGTAGAAAATCTATTAGTCGACGAGAATACAGATTCTTGCATAAGGCATAAAAAAATCAATAATCTTTTAATTATTTTATGGAAAGAAAGGAAAGTAAGGCTTTGATTCATTTTCTTATGTATTATATAATACATCATGCGTTATGCAAAATGTATAATACATAATTTAATACATACGATGATTTCCGGTCCTTTAATTATTACACACAATGAGTCATTCGTGTCCCGAATTAATTTTCATCACTTCAACAAATATACAAAAATTATTAAGTGACTCTTACATATATTTGAACATTTTTAAGAAGTATTTAAAAATTGTGTATTTAAAAAAATTGTATGTAAATGTTATAATAATTACTTGATGCTCTTACTTTTTCAAAAAAAAAAAAGAAGAGAAATGTGCAAAAAACGAATGTCCCAATTGTGTGTACTAAGGAATGTAAATAGAATCTAAACAAAAACATATAAGATAATTGAATTAATAAAAATTTGCGCTACATAATATAATTTTATCCATTTCCCACGAGACAACTCCATGGACATTTTTTAATTGATTCTGTCCCATAATTTGTTTGTTTTATTTGCCGTTTATATTATTTGCTTTCTTTCCTAGTGAGAAATGATAATGGAATCGACGTTCGATATCGATTTCACTGTCATTTCTCACTGGAAGCTTTGTTTGTGTCGTTTTACGAAATTTCTACTTTGCACTTTGATTATGTTTGCATTATTGGTATTATAGCGGCAACTTTGTTGATATCTTACTTTTCGTGTGTAAATTTTTTTCATTCGTGTTTAATTATCTAAATTATCGTAAATTGATCTTGTGTCTATGCAATCAAATTATTATTATTACATATGAATTGATTAAAAAGAAGATAAAAAAGAAGAGTCTCTAAATTTTTTAATGTAACTATATATTTCTCATTAATAATTTTAGAATCAAATTTATGATTATGGAGATGGATCGCTCTTATCGATATTCACATTTTAGAGATATATGTATAGAATGATGAGAGGCAAGGAAGAACTTCCAAGTTACGTGAGAGAATCTGCCGCCTATATAGTTCATTGAAAAATCTCTAATCGTGTCATTCGTATTGCACCTGACGCCTCAGAATTAAATCTGTGTTAATACAATTCTATCAATAACTATTAACAATTAAACCTATGTACACGATTTATTTTTTCCTGCTGGATTGTTCGCGTTTCAATAAATTACTAGAACTATATAGCACATAGAACACACAGAATTTTTAGTAATTCTATACAAATCCAGCAAGAAAAAAATGCATTGTGTGCTGTAAACTTTACTTATTATGTTCAGCATTTATCATATTTTTATATAATAAAGGTATATAATATAATAATATATAATAATTAAATAATTAAGCAATAATATATAATAATTAAGTAATTAATATATAATAATTACGTAATTAAATAATATATAAAAATTAAGCAATCATCATCACCATTTGATGACAGCCCTTTATGAGACTGACTATCCATTTTTAGAATTAAATGAATTCCACATATTTTGTCATTTCTTAAAAAAATTTGAAAGTTTCTTTAGATTCTCATCTTATTATTAAAAATTAACATGCTTTATTTCTATTGATAAATATTTGAATTGCAAGGAATTGTGATATGAAACAAAGTTATAGAAAATAAGAGTCTTATGCAATAAAATAGACCTATACACAATTATGTAAATACTATTATATTAAAATCTTTTCTAAAATGAATGCGCTTATTATTAAAAGGAGCTTTTAAAGTTTACAAAAGTTTTTTGAAAGATTACACAAAAACACAAAATATGTACGTGATCTTTTTGCTAAGATAAATAAAACATGAGCAGATATGAAAAGTAATTTCGAGAAAAATTTCTGTCATCTTAAGTAGGATACACGAGTAAAGTTCCACGTGTGTGCGACCACATAAATTACATACTATTTACTACATTCTGTGCACATAAATTACTCACTACTTTATTACTACTGTACATTCTATCTAAATTTATAGACAAGTAAAACAATGCATATTATTAATATGAGATCTTGGTAATGACATAAACTCTATGTTAAATAACTCTATGTATAAATAACACGTTGTATAAAGACTGACATAGAAACTAAAATTCTTTGCATAGAAGCAGAACAATAAGTCATTATAATATCAAAATGATGTCAAAATATCATTTACGATTCATTTTAACGTCATTTGACGTCATTTTGATGTGACTTGTTCTGCTTGGATATAATGCAAACATGCGGTAGTTAAAAGAAGATAAAAAAGAAGAGTTTCTAAATTTTTTAATGTAACTATATATTTCACATTAATAATTTTAGAATCAAATTTATAATTATGGAGATGGATCACTCGATATTTACATTTTAGAGATATATGTATAGAATGATGAGAGGCAAGGAAGAACTTCCAAGTTACGTGAGAGAATCTGCCGCCTATAGTTCAATGAAAAATCCCTAATCGTGTCAAAAATTTTATTAATTTTTTACATTTTTTTCAACATTAAAGAAGCTGATTAAAAATTTCGTTGAAGAATTATAATAATAAATATAAAAAAAATTATATTAAAGCTGCGAATATAACATAAATTATAAAAGACGATCTTTTATGTAATTCAGATTGATAAATGTAGGTATCATAATTAATTCAGTACGTGATAATTAATAATAATATACGACAAGTGTATTCCATTACTATATTATATATATATTCTATATATTTTATTTATCGGATGTAATTTATTAACTATATCTATATATATTATCATTGTCATTTCCCGTTATTACTTCATATGTTGTATTTTATGCAGAAAAATCGTCTTGTACTTTCTCAAATATCCCCGTACAAGCACCACCTTGTACATGTTTGCATGCACGTTGTCTTGCGTCCTCTGAGCTCCGCAAAAGCAACAAGTTTGATTGGAACCACGTTTCTTCGCCACACTACTTTACGTGAATGTGTCCTTTCGTATTACTAATAAAACTTTTATTCTGTGCGTATTGCATGAGAATGTGCGTCGCATCTCAACCCCGCGTGCGTCCCGGGTACGGTATGGGAAGGTGAGGGATGGTGAGAGAGGGTAAGTTACGCGTCGACGTATGATTTCTCTGGCGCCCCATGAAACGCGCATGGCAGTTGGAACAGCGCGTATTTAAGGGCTGATCTCCGGCTGTTCTCGCCACTGTCACACGGTTCTCGTCCGGGCCTCACGCCGGTCATCCCACGTTTGTCTTTGCAACCCTTTGTCCTTCTTCGTCGAGCCATCGTCGACGTTCACATCCGCGATACGTCGACGGCGATCTCCATTATCTTCTCGTTCACTCAATCCATCTCGCGCGTCACATCGCGAGACACATCCCGCGATCTTCCGCACCATCCCATCGTCTTTCCGCACGGACGTCTGTCCAAGTCGCCAAGTCAGAACTTCGGAGATCAAATTCAAGGGTATCACATCCTTCGTGCGAATTCACGGTCCCATTCAGGCTGACACCGACTCGCAGTCTACCGGTGCGATAAAGGGGGTGAACGAGCGACGAAGCCATAAGCCTCTACTTTTGCTGACTATCTGCTCTCAACGAGCCTCTTCTTTACTTATCTTCACGCTTTCAGCAGGTTGGTATCGTCCCGTTAAATGTTTAAATCTAATAGGCTTTTTGTATATAATAAGTATTACCTAAGCTTTAAGTCTTAAACCGTAAGAAATTGACCAATCATAATCGAATGTGAGAAGAATAATCAATTAAATTGGTCAATTTCTTACGGTTTAAGACTTAAAGCTAAGGTAATGGCTTATTGTAAGAAGCTATTATAATTTTAACTCGCACGCGCAAAGTAAAAGATTATACTTTTTAAGAAAAATAAATCATGCGGTATAATTCAGATTTGCGTTTTTTAAAACACTCGTGCAAAGTTATTATATAATTAATATCTTTTGCAGAATCTTCTTTAAATTCATAAATAAATTAAATTCATGAGTCTAATGAGATTCGTTAAAGGAGTAAAAAATGCTCGTATATTTTCTTAAAAAATTAACACAATGTCATGGCCTATTTCGAGCTATAATTAAATTAACTTTAAATTAATATAATGTGTTAATTATATTAATTTAAAGTTAATTTAATTATAGTTCGAAATAGGCCATGACATTGTGTTAATTTTTTAAGATTCGTAACGGTAAATGTTAACGTAGATTTGTTAATATGGTTATATATAAAATTACAATATATAGGATCGTATCATACACAGTTATAATATTATGTAAATATAATTAATATGTAAATAAAATATTTTTATATCTATAGCTTTGATATTTGATATGATAATTGAAAGATTGCCACTCTGCATAAAAGTACGCATCTATTCTGCCATCACGTCTGCAAAATTTTAAAAAGTTTATATAAAAATATAAGTTTATAACGAAAATACAAAATATGTTGTTAAAAATTCGTCGATATTTTTATTTTACTTTTACGAAATAGAAACTTATACAAAATTTAACAATTTCGTATGTTGTGCAATTCAATATTTCTTGATATGGAGACAAGTTTTTATATTTACTTTTAGTTTTAGAAATCGAGTGTATCAACAACCTATTCTTTTTTTTTTTTAAATAACTCTTGCACACCCATGAAGAATATAACTTCATTAGGAATTGAAATGTTAAAGTGGCTTTAAAGCAATCGAGCAAACGTAATTCGTTTCAATGCAGATGTTTTTCTTTTTCAATGGTTGCGTTCATTCGATTTACGGAGCAAATGTCCGTTTATTATTCATTATTGGCGTAACACGTGCGTATTTGAAGCCAAAGTAGGATCTTGTGTTACATTTATATAAAAATAAAAATAAATATATAATTTTTCTACTATAAATTCCAATTTTTAAAACTAATATATAGAAAATTATTAATTGTGTAATGAAATGTAGAAAATTATAGTATTATTATTGACAGTAGTATTTATTAGCCTTTTTTTTGCTTACTAAGATTACGTTTTCCTTTGACATTTTTTTTCGAAAATTCTTGTTGATTGGCAATGAATTTATTTCACAAATAAAATTTATTTTACAGGTGGAGATAATAAAAAGTGTATTTTATATACGGATCAAACATTTTATGTAAATATCATTTTAAGTGTATATTGTATCATCTACATACAAATCAAATCTTTTATTTACATAATTATTAAATAATTATATTTTACGTTATATAGGATTTTCTAAAATTAAGAAAAATAGAAATGTATTCCTCCAAAAATTCCAATTTTCAATAGTAAAGATATCTTCGAGGTACTAAAATAAATTCTTAAATTACGAGGAAACAAGAGCGAGAAACTTTTCTATGAATTAAATTCGAAAGGAACAAGTGCAAGACATTATTTAGTGCTCAATATGAAGTAAATTTTAACGGAACTTTTAATTACAAATTTAATTACGACGATACAAGACCGAAGTTCGAAAAGTTGTGATAAATCGTGATCTACTCGTTCTCGTTAAAGAAAAATCGATTTCGAATTTTTTAAGATAAAACGCTGTGCATACAATTTTACAATTTCAAGATTCTATACATATCATGTATCGATAATGTGTAAAACATTATCATACAGATGTGAGGGTACACCTAATCTTTCAGAGGAATTCAGTTTCAAAGTTTGACGTCTTAAGCTTACATTCGAATAAGGCGAATGAAATTGATGACGAACGTTTTAAATTTATTTGACTCTTTAGTAATGTGAGAATTCATCTACTTTTGAAATGTCAAACTCGAAAATTGATGTCTTGAAACATATATAGGATAAAGCGCTGTTGAATGCCGTTTCTCAATACAGTCGTGATAAATGAGCTTAAAATGATCTTGCGGTTCGACGCGTAAATAATTAATGCGAGATATCAGTAAATTAACGCGAGTTCATATTTTGTGTATAAATCTATAATATTATAATCAAAGTTACCACAAGACTAAAAATCAAAGAAATCAGAGAAATGTCAGGGAAATTAAAAACGATCAGGAAAAGTTAAGGAATTTTATAAAATTTTCTGGAAAATTAAAGTTCTTAATTTTAAAGAAGTTTAATGTACGTATATCACCTATAATATATAATTTTGGAATACTATCAACTTAATAATTAAAAATACAAACAGTGCAAAGTGATTAATTAATCATTAATTGTAAGTAATTGACTATAATTGCTATGTTAAATTAATTTCTCAATCAAATATTTAACGATTTTCTAAATAAAAAATATAAAAAAATTCAAAATATTATTGAAATTAGGGAAAATCATGAAATTTTGTCTGGAAATCAGGGAAAAATTATGGAATCTTAGGATGAGTAATTTACGCCTGAATTACTTCGATTACGTTATACGAGATAGAAAAGGGCACTATATACGCTGATCATTACGAAAGACTGATATTGTTCGTTCCTCGATTTGCGTTTTATCATCCTTAAAACGATAAATGTTCTGCAATACGCGCGGAATGAACATAACAGTTGGATTACAAATTGCATACCGGTATTGATTTAATCAATTCTCTCTGTACCTATTACTATTTCTGCATTACATTGTATTACTATCTCGCGTAATAATATACAAGCTCTATAAACGAGATGTAATATGGCAGTTACAAATATCACTCTCATTAGCATTCAATTAACGCAGGCCCTTAATTAATGATGTGCGCGTTCAACATTCTTATCTTTTCTTTTCATTTGTTAGTCTTTAATTTCATCATTTTTCAGCACGTTAATTGGAATCACCACAAAGATATTACGGATAAAAGGGAATAAAAAGGAAAAACTGCAAATTAACTATTGTTTTAATAAAACAGCTTTGCGAGACAATTATACACATTTTCTATATTTTTTCTAGCATAAGTTAATTTTCTCAAAGCTTTCATTACTTATCCATCGTAAAATAGATAAGAGAAACGAATTTCGCAAATCTCATAGAAGCTGTTCGCTTCAAATATATTATATCTCTTTCCTTTTTTCCTTCCACAAACGATATTATATATTGTATCTCCTTAGCCAACCTTTACAGAAATTTAATATTGGCCAATATTAAAAGACAGTAATTAATCAGTTATTTTAAATATTCAAAACTGTTCTTGAATACTTTTCGTACTTCAAATAAGTGATTATCATCTTTTAGTAATAAATCGGCCAGTATTAATTCTCATTGTGTAAACGACGGTGTTCTAAGCGATTTTTCAAGTTATGAATATGATGAATATTTTAAAAAGAAGTGAATATGGACACGCCGTTCTGCTTCTAAACAAACTTATGGAAATGAGAGAAGATCTGTGAAAATCGGCAGTGAACGTTATTTTCTCGCTGAGCAGCGGATAGATATTCAAAATCGAGCGCGGACACAATTTACACGCAACGCATATTTGTGTACAAATAAATAAAATGATTTTTTCATATTTCTTGATTATTTTTACAAGTAAATATATATAACGAAAAATTTTGTATTTAGTATTATCTTAGAATAAAAATGGCAAAAACTTTGCTGAAGAGGTGTTACGATTTTTTTTTGTTCTCTTACAATGTCATTCCGTACATATTTTTATATTTACGAAAATGTGAAATGAGATAATTGTGAATTATAGATTTAAATATAAAATAAATTTTTTAAAGTTAAATGTCAATTTTTCATACGAACACTTATTTTTATAAATTTCAAAATTGTAAGACTTCATATCCCGAACTTAAGCATTTAAAAAAAAAAATTTAAGCATTAAAGATCCAGCTTTTATCGTTATAAGCTTTAAATTCTTACTTGTGTATTCATATATATTTATATGTATTCATATACGGTCTTAATAAATCATTTATTATTAAAAAAATGTATTGGCATATTTTTTAAATTAAAATATGTACCTTAAACTTTCTTTTCCATTTTTAATGATTAGATTTTGTTGATTTGTTCAAAAGTTACAAATTTTTAAACATATACTTTTGGTTTATATATTTGCAAAAATAAAATATTTAAACAAATAGATTTGTAAAATTATGTAAAAATTTTTTATTAAGAATATTTAAGAAATTACATGAATTTTTTATATTTTTTAAGCCATTTAATTCATTAAAAAAACTAGACATTATATTGACTTCCGTGTACACTTAATGCGTACAAAAAAATGATGTATACAATAAGGATTAAATTGGCCAGTATTAGATTTCTGCATAAAGGAAGGCTTTTAATCACTGAATACATATATTACGGATCTCTTGCCATATATTACGGAATTTTAAACGATATCTCATAAAAAGCTAGTCTTCAGACTTAAAGCTCGGAAATTTATTCTCATTTAAGTAAATACTGAAAATCACGATCTCTCCGCTTTACAGCTTTAAAATGGCGCAACAGGGATAAATCCGGGAGTGACCTTATTATATATACTGAAACTCTTTGATATTTCGAAAGCACGTGGAAAGTTCGCAGCTAATATTGCGCGTGTAAATAGGCAAAGATTTTTAAGTTATATGGACTTCCTGCAAGTTATCTCTCTTATAGAAATTTGATATTAATAGTAACGAATTTATCACTTATTTTAAAATTACAAATATTCTTTTGATATTATTTTTGATATTAAAAATATTATTAACAGTA